TGGAGAGAAAAACAAAGTAAAGAACAAAAAAAAAAAGAAAACGATTAATCGATTATTAAATTAGTCATCGATTATTTTAATAATCGATTGGTCGTCAATTAATCGTGGCAGCCCTACACAGTTTTCGTGTTCATGCATTGTTTTCTTGCTGCAAGCCCCTTGTGCCGGTCCTTAACCTGTGTGATGTCACATATGGAGGGGAGAATCTGGCTCCTGTCTCGCTCCCTGCAGCTCACCTCTTTTCAGGCCTACAAGCTGCGGGTGACCCACCTGTTCCAGCTGAAACAGCACAGCATCCTGGTGTCAGTGGGGCAAGATGAACCTGGAATAAACCCTCTAGTGAGTAACAGACTCAAACTGAACCCGTTCAGACAGAAGACGGTGTTTGTGAGGTTTGTTAAAACCTGAAAACTTAAAGTCAACGAACTCTGTGTTGTTGATATGGAGTCTGGCTTCATTGAATCATCTTCATTTGAACTGAATCCAAAATATTTTCAGTTGTAGATGAACTCTCGTTGATTACTTTCATAAACTAATTCGGTAGTTCATGAGATATTTTGCTAACAGACACAAGCATRATTCTGCTTTGCTTTGTTCAGCAGTGGGTAATAGGGGTGTAAGAAAATATCGATACACTGAAATATTGCGATATTTCATTTCCCGATACTGTATCGATATTCTAAAGCCCTGTATTGATTTTTAATTAAGGTTTAAAATGTCAAACTTCTTGCCAACCGTTCATTTTTATGTTGTAGTTCAGCCTCTGACCACTAGTTGGCAGCAGTAAGCCAGCCATTTGGCTCCTCTACCTCTTTAGCGCCAGAGAGTAAGGGTAGCATTAGCATTGTAAGTAAACGTTAGCTTTTCTTTTTTTTTTCGGTAAGAGGTTTTTATTTAATAGAATTTTTGGACAAAAAAATCGCAATATATCGCAATATATTGCCTTACTTATAGTATCCCAATATATCGGGATATATCGTATCGTATTGCCAAATTCTTGGCAATAAACAGCCCTAGTGGGTAATGATCAGTGTTAGTCAGCAGCTGTACCTCCACAGTGGTGCTGGATCTGGGTCTTTAGATGATTCCATGGTTAGACTCTGATTTAACTGACATATAATAAGAATCATGTTGGAGGTGTCTGTGTCTTTACTTTGATGTTTTTATACTTTATGTTTCAAACTTTGTGTATCTGTAGAATGACGCTGAAACAGAATCAGGCAGGAATCAGACACATGACGTCTGAAACTTGTTTCTTCAGTGAGAGATTTGAGGACCAACTGGGCCAAGCTCCCACCACACTAAATGTGCTTTTCTGTTTTAGGTAAAGGTCTGGAACCTTGAAAAGAGAGACAGTGGAAATCCTCTCTGTACCAGGATTTTCCCTGCCATTCCAGGCAACAAACCCACAGAAGTCTCTTGCCTGAGTGTCAATGAGAACCTCAACTTCATGGCCATTGGTTAGACATGTTTTTCTACTTACTGACTGTTCGTCACAATAAACCAGCAGCTTTTTATATTTTATGTTATAAATATTTATATATTGTCTTGATCATTTTAGCACCTGCGTTGCTGATTTTAGCTTTTTTCTTGTACTATTATCAGTTAAAGGGGACATATCTGCATAATCCACTTTTTTAGCTGTTAAATTTTGTTGTGTACTTGGAGTCTGTAGGAGTCAGAAAAGTTTCATGTAGTCTCAGTGCTGCTGCATACAGTAGATATCTTTGTATTCTGTTTGAGTCATATTTTTCAACCCGTTCAGCTTTCTCTATTTTCTTAGAGGTTTTCTGAACTCTTATGTCAAATTATCTGCGATGGAGCTGTTGAATAAGGTCTGGACTGGTGGTCTTCATTCTCCTCTCACTCTGGGTCAGACTCTGGTTCTGAGTCAGACTCTGGCTCCAACATGTAAAGCTGGATGGACAAATCTTCTCTTGTTAACATCTTTTACTTAAATTGTAAATCAGGTCGCTAGCGACCTGATTTCCTAATAGTGCGACTAAAAACAAAAATGTCCGGTCGCACTGGTGCGACCATTCGTTCGATGGGGAGCGGTCGCCCGCTGAAAAAAAAAGTTTCCATGTTRCATAAAAAATAATCCAGCAGTGTCAACCATAACAGTCGCCCACCGACAGTCTCATGTCTCCTAATAACACTGCGCTCTGCTCCACACCTCCTGCACACACACACTGTTGTTCTATCCTCATGGGGACTTTGCATTAATTTCCATTCATTTCCCTGTCGACTCTATAGCCAACCACAACCTCCCAGGTAGACTACACACCTGACCCAAACCCTAACCTCACCTGGCTGTGTGTACCAGGGACATGCATGTGCGCACACGCATAGCGAAGCAACCGTAGTTTATTTTATGTATTTATTTATTTATTTTTACCCAGTTCGGAGTCTGAAAACAGTTCTTGTTAGCTGGAGATGAAAACAACATGTGGACGGTTGCTCGCTCTTAAGTCCGTCTTGCTAAACAGTCGGGGTCTACTCTGTGAGCAGATCATTTCAGCAGGACGAGGAAGCTCACATCGTCAGTCCGCATTTGCACTTAATCGACTTCACCACAGTTACATTCCAAGTATCTGAAATAGGTTCTTCTGGGTCTCAGGAGGATAAAACTAGATATTTAAGTGAAATAATATAAGATAATAAGATTCAACCAATGCTAATTAAATTGCAGACTTTTATGTGTTATTATTTTTAAAAAAATCTGCACAACCTTTTAATAAATATCAGTAATATTTCTG